ACCGACATCTGGTGAAAATTTCATGTCATTAGCGCCTCTAGTAATATATTTACTGAGAAAAATGGTGACATGTTCAATACTTATTTTACCCGCTGTATATTTTAAAACAGCACAGGATTTATGAGGGGGTCCCTGGAATTTTTTCACCTGTTATGGACTAATTATCTATCTGTGTCACATGTTCAATGTTAATCTGTTTGTCCAGACAACAGGACTCCGCAACGGACTGACCTCTCTTGTTTGATAAGACCCTCTTTGAGCTGGGAGCCCTGTGATAGGCTGGAGAGTACATTGGGCGATCTGTGATTGGTTATAAGCACGTCATATGATGTTATCATGGTGTATATTATTGGCTGTGTCCGCTGACGTGTCAGCGACAAGCTGACGGGGCCTCCTGATTGAGTCCTGTTTGCCTACTGCTCAGAATTAAATCATTTATTTACGACCATACACACAGACTTTTCTGGCATTATTCCAACGTGTTTCTGCTTTCATAACAACAACACACCCTTGTAAGGGGTCCCCAGACCCAAATGGCTTGAGAACCCCTGATCTAAACAGTTCAAGGAAGGTGGTTTATCGTTGTGGCTAATTATATTAAAAGCAATTCATTTGCAGATAGATCCAAAGTTACCAAATCTGTTACTAAAGTTGCAGTTCAGAGCTTTGAAGTCGGATTTTGTGGAAACATTATGAACAATAAATATCTTACCTATTGTAGCTAGGTCTTTAAACACACACAGTTTGGAGAAAAAGAGATAAAATTATTACAAAATTATTTTTTACGAATAAAATTTAAATGATCGTTAAACATGCTTAAAGGCACAGTGTGTAGGATTTGTTGTTTTCAGCGACATCTAGCGGTTGAGTGGTTGAATCATCCATCCTGGTCCTCCCCCCACCCCCCGCTTCCAAACTCAAATGAGTTTCTACGGTGTCTCTCAGGTGTCAAAAACCTTTGATCATTCCAACCACGATGTCTACCAGCAGCTTCAGGGCTAGTGATGTTTCAAGTGTTAAGATTATGAGCGTTAATAAGTAAAATTTTCCCAGCTACAATGACAGACAACAAATATTACATTTATAGTATTACAACTAAAACTGTTTTTGACGCCACCACCGCAGTTTGTCCTTCATGAGCCTTTGTAGACAAGATGGCGGTGCAAGATGGCGGCTGCCTGTAGTGGCGAGCTGCGACCATGGAGATATAAACAGCTTTTTATAAGGTAAAAATAATAAAACAAGGTCTTTGTCTGCAATGATTAGACATGTTTTTTATTATTGTCATTAGTGATTATCTCAATTTCGGCTAAAAGAATTGACAAAATCCTACACACTTTGCCTTTAAACCATTTTTTGTGTATACTGTATATTTGTTTAAAAAGATTTGGGAAAACATATGAATTAGGAATTAATTTCTTTATGCATTAAAAATCTTAGCTTTTTTAGAAAATGGGATTTATACTTAAAAAACAATTACATTCAAACTAAAATTGGCAGAGAAAAAGGTAGAGTTTTAAACGTAGGATTTTTTTTTCATTATTGAAAGAAATTAGATAAAACTCATTCTTTCCCACACAGCGAACTGCTCTGTGATTTATAAGCTGCTTCATCACACTGATCCACAGAAAGTGGGTGTCTGCTCTGATCATTTCCAATCATGTGATTAGTTTTGAATGTTGGCCTGACATTATCCCTTTGTGTCTCTTCCTTCAACATATGACCCAGACACACCCCCAAGTACCAGTGTGTGTGTGTCACATGATAGTATTTATGTCTCTGAAGGTTAGTCAGCTGAAAGGCTGAGCATCAAGAAGTGGGTAATATTCTTACAAAATAAAAGCCTAAGTTAAAGAGACTAACCTTGGAGCTTTACATGTTGTAGCTATGCGTGCACACATCAGGAAGGTTTCTAATGGGGAAGCCAAGTGTCACGTCTTCAGGCAGAGCCGAAACGAGTTTAATGTTTTTGGTTTGAGGGTTGTCTAAGAGTTGTTCCTCCACAGGCGTGTTTCAAACATGCCTGCACAATGTCTCTGTTTCATAAAGACTGAAAGAAGAGGAAGAGAAAACCAATCCTGCAGTGATTTAGACAAATGCAATAATTCACAAATCCCATAAACCCATATTTGATTCAAAATGAAACAGTAAACACATCAAATCATTACACTAAGAAAATGTACTATTTGAAGGCAAAAAGAAAGTCATTTAAAATTCGATGTCAACACAACTGAAAGAAGCTGAGACAGGGCCATGTTTACCACCATGAAGCATTCCTTTTTATTTTAACAACTCTAAACATCTAGAACTGAGGAGACCAGCTGCTGCAGCTTTTAGAGGACATTTTGTCCAGTTCTTGTTCAATAGGATTCTATCTGTTCACCAGTGCTGGGGCTTAGCAGTTTCATGTTGYACYAAATGTTTTCAGCTAGACGTCTGGGCTGCAGGCCGTTCCAGCACCTGATCTCCTCGGCTACATTGGATGCAGTAAGGTGTTTTATTATCTAAAAGCTGTCACCAGAATGACAACAGTAGTTCTAAAACCTGTGTGCACTGATTGTGTCTTCCCAGATGTGTAAGCTGCTCATATCATAGGCACTAATGCACCCCTATACCATCAGAGAGGCAGGCTATGAGTCTGAGTGCTAATAACAGGCTCCTCTGTAGCATGGAGGACACGGTGCACATGCATCTAACAAAGCTCAGAGAAGACAGGGCACTTTTGGGTGTTCACAAAAAGTTTGGTTGCCTCTGTTCCAGCTTTCTTTGAGATGCGTTGCTGTCATTAATGTCAAAAATACCCTTTTTTCTGAAAATGGTATATGTTATTATGCGTATCTATGTTTAATTATGAATAAATGATGTTGTTTATTGCTCCTCTCTGTCCACAGATATTCTCCCTGGTGGTCTTCGCCTCCATCGTGAATGAAGGTTACATTAACTTGGGCAGCGAGCGTCTCCACTGCGTCTTCAATAAGAACGCGGATGCGTGCAACTACGGCGTGTTCGTGGGCCTGGTGGGCCTGCTGGCGTGCTCCTTCTTCTTCCTGCTCGACTACAAGTTCTCCTCCATCAGCTCTGTTAAAGACAGGAAGAAGGCCGTGATGCTAGAAATTGGGTTCTCAGGTGAGGAGGGGAAAAAATACTGAGAAACAGACAACTGAAGGCAGTGCTGACGCGTGTCTCAGGTTTATACAACGTTAGAGAGGAGGAAGTGAACCCTCAGAGGCTGTGCTTCCCTCACAGCATCAAACATTTGGTCTGACTAGGCTTGTTTCTTTGTTTCAGGTGACAGGACACTATTAGAAGAAACAAGACTAATTATATTTTCTAAAGTAAACATTCAGGCAACAAAAGAGAAGGATTTAAAAGTATCTTTGGTGTTTATTCACCACAAATGCATCAACAGCTCAGTTTGAAAATAACCTACAGAGAGGCTGCAGAGAGTGTTGCTGTCTTGGGGGAGTGGGGGTATTGTTGTTTCTATATCATGGGTTTATTGTGCATAATTTTGTACTGCACCTTGAGCTGATTTTAGTATGAAGGGTGCTTTGTAAATAAATAAAAACTTAAAACCATTTACTGTTTTGCTGGTTTCTGGCAGGGTTTTGGACCTTCCTGTACTTCGTAAGTTTCTGCTTTCTGGCCAGTCAGTGGTCTCGGACTCAAACGGACGATTTGCCTCTCAACCAGGGGGCGGATGCAGCTCGGGCAGCTATCGCCTTCTCTTTCTTCTCTATAATCACCTGGGTAAGAATACGAAATAACACGAACGTGCACCGAGTAAAGACCAAATATATGTGGAACCAATAAATGGATCACAAATGATGGCAACACAAACCTAGCTGGGCTTAGTTACCAAAATCAAAGCTCAGTTGTGTTTCTAAATGATTCATTCTCACCTAAATTAAAGAAAAAAATTAAAATAATGTCCCCACAAATCACAAGACATGAATAATATTTAATGAAGCCTTAAAATTATGACATACATAAGGTATCTGGTAAATTTATTCCTTGTTTCGATAAAGATAGCTRCTGAATTTACTGTTTTCACTTGTCCATATGAATGTTACAGGGAATTTAGCAGTCCTCCTGTCCGAGGAATACAACTGAACAATAGTTTCATTTGAGTTTTAGTTGCATTTAGCTCAAATGAATTTATCTTCTTTAGCTTTCTGCATCCAGTTTATCCTACACACTTAAATCAAAAACACACACGATGTACAACTTACAGTATGTCTATAATAGTGGAAGTATTATTTTCCAGTTTATTTCTTTGTTAGTTTGGTTTCTGTGTGTCTTTCTCYTCTTACACAGTTTTTGAACACTCAGCAGTATGTGTTGGGGATGATCCTCAGCTACTACCACACCAAATCAAAAATTTAATCATTGTTTGTAAAATTTACTGAGATATTAGCCATTTTTGTGTTTGCTAAGATCGCTTAGTTGTAGCAGCAGTTTGAATGTGGTTGASTTTCAAATGTGATATTTTGYTAACAAACATRTAAACAGACACACCTATAGGTAATTACATRATATAAATATAAACTCTCACGCCGATACAACTGTACACAGAAAGAAACAACATGTGGTCATTTGATTTCAGTGTCTTGTGACTTCCTTGTGCCGCAGTAATTACAGCTAAATGTTTCCAGAAGCTGTAATCACTGTCAAACATCAGCTTTGGCCACTTCCTCTGTCCAGGAAAGTTTCATCTCTGGAATGTTGATTGGTTTTCTCTTCTGAACAGTTTAATTAATTTATTACWTAACACTTCTTTTCAAATCATCGTGAAAGTGAAGAAACCAAGTTGAGGATTTAAGCAGAAACATTTGGATTGACAGTTCCTGAACTTCGTCTGTTGTTTTATGTGTCAAACTGAGGGGTGAGCTCAGTTTCATCACGGCTCGTTTTAATCCTGWGATGGGATCAGCGTTTTCTTTTTCACAAATGTGAAACTTTTCTTGTAAACCTATCTTGGTTTTTTCGTTGTACAAATTAATTTTCTGTCTGTTCCACATAATCTTTAGCAAATTGCTGATGAATGGAGAGCGGTTCTGCCATCGTTAACACTGTCCTCAGTGTTTTGATGATCGCCCTAACTCTCCTGCTGCACTGGGGTCAAAATGATCCCAGAGGCATCAGGGCTCATTTTGACTCAAGGGCAGCAGCAGAGTTAATCAAGCTTTATTTGACTGCATAAAAAGGTGAAATACATTGTTGTCATTAAATTAGATTAGAATAGATTCAACTTTATTGTCATTGAACACAGTAVCAAGTACTTGAACAACGAAATGCAGTTTGGCATCTAACTAGAAGAGCAAAGTAGTAAAGTGTGAGTGTAGTGAAATACTGCAGGTATGAATTGAATATATTATAGAATATATACAGGAGATGAGTACTGATGAGTACTGATACTAACATGTATGTATGTATAATATAGACGGTTATGAACAGCTGTGTGTAGTGTAATACTGCAGGTATGAAGTGAATATACCATAGATAGTCATCTTTAATTAGCTGATTATAGTTAGTTTGGCACAACAACAAAAATGACAAATTCCACTTGTTTTCCAACTTAGACCTGAAACTAAGTTGGGTGTGACGTTATTCCAAGTTTTGTTTTCATATCATAATTTCGTTTTGAAATTGTCAAATTTCTTTCAGATTCTTTTTTTTTACATGGAGCATGGACATTTTAACATTTGAGTACGATCAACACACCATCTAATGATTCTAGCTTTGTATTTGACTTCTACGAATTCCTGCTAAAATAATTTAAAATATGAAAGTAGAAAGATCTTTTTACTCTTATTACAGTATCTTTAATTTAAGTGGTTTTCTGAAGTGTTTAAAACTAAATTTTACATTTTGACCAACTCACTGTGAATTTTCCAGCATCTTAAAGTGCCTGTGACATGCATTTTCTTGCAATACAAAAGGTCAAAGAAATTATCTTTATGATTTAAAAAAATAATAATACACATGATTTTACTCATTTTGTCACATAACTGGAAGATTTTATTTTGAACTTGACTCAGCCAAAGTGAAATAGGAAGTGACATCAAAGGGGAACTCTCAGTGGTGGAGAAAGTACTCAAACACTGTACTTAAGTAAAAGTACAGAAAAACAGACCAACATGTACTCTAGTAAAAGTAAAAGTACCACATTAACATTTTACTTGAATAAAAGTAAGTAAGTACTTGCTTTTAAGAATACTTAAAGTATTAAAAGTAAAAGTACTTGCTTAATGTATTCCCTAATGGTCTACAATATCATGAAGTGTGCCTATAGTATGTATATTTTTACTACATCAATGGTGCCATTTTAGTGAACAAAGCTGCAGATAATACATGTTGTGACACTGTTCACACTTGGACTTGTGATTTTGTGCATCCTCACAGATTGTGACAGCAGCTACAGAATCACCACCATTTTGTCAAATCTCAACAAGTCGATTTTTGAACCAGTTAACTTGAATAAGTCTTCTAAATAAGGCCACAAGGGGCACATTTCCTCTGTGGTGGAATCCATTGTGGGTGTGCTAGCTCTGCCTTTTTTTTTTTTTTTTTTTTTGAAGGAGGGTCTAATGGTGCTTTGCAGTGGTTGAACGGACAAATTACAGCAATTCCCCTCTCACCATTGATTACTTTCAAACAAAAAAAAGCAACCCCCCCCCCAAAAATAAAAAATAAAAAAAAACAAATGTAATGCTACGTGACATGAATGTAATTTGAAATTCAACACATTACAGAAATGTAGTGGAGTAGAAAGTACAGATACTTAATGTAAAATGTAGTGGAGTAGAAAGTACAGATACTTAATGTAAAATGTAGTGGAGTAAAAGTAAAAAAGTACCCATGATGAAATCTACTTAAGTAAAGTACAGATACATAAAAAATGTACTAAAGTACAGTAACAAAGTACTTGTACTTAGTTACATCCCACCACTGGTAACTCTTTAAGAAGAGAAACTCTCTGGTCTTTGTTTATTAAAACAATATTTGAACTCTGACTCTTMTTCATCTCTCTGATAGTGACTCAAATAATCTAAAGAAGCATCAGATTCTTCACTACAGTCTGTGTTGTTAGACATTGTAGCAATGCTCTGTTCACATTCAAACATTACCCTCTGACRTCACTTCCTGCTACTTCACATGTGAATACCTCAACAACTGTTCATCTTGGCAGTGTGAACATTTTCTTGCAATATTTATCAGTTATCTTTCCAAAAATACATTCATATTTATTGCAAACATTAAAGTCACAGACACTTTAAATCATTTTTAGGTCTAGTTTTTTGTCTTCACTAACCCGTCTTTTCTGCCCCTGTAGGCCGGCCTCACGGTGCGTGCCGTCCAGAAGTATCTGCTCGGCACAGACATGACCCTGTTCACCACTGAGCACATGGACGGCGGCGCTCCCACCCAGCCGTACCCCTCCAATTCACCGGGAGGCGGAGCTACCGAGACCACGGAAACCTACCAGAACCCGCCGTTCACCGAGAACAACGCAGCACCCACATACCAGGTTCCCATTTACTAGAACAGGTAGAAAAACTGGTGGAGGAGGATGGAGGAAAAGTTACAAACACGAGGAAATTGCTTTCTGTGATTTCTGTTACAAGTGCAGTTGTTTGAGTTGATCTGGTCTGAGTTTTCAATAACCATGTAAAAAAAAAAAGCTGCTCGCTTTTTCTGTTTCTTCCTCTTGTTTCCTGCCTTTCGCAAACATTCCAGCTTTATCTGCTTTTTTTCTGGACCTGTAGTTCAGAAGTGATGTCACTTCATCAGAGCAGATAAAACAAAAGAAAAACCAGAGGAGGAAACATTAAAAGGAACTTTGTGGTATTTTAAACTCTTATTTTGTCATAAAAGGAAGAGATCAAATAATCAAAGCTGTGTTAAATCACTGTAACAGAGCAGRAAGTGCTCTCAGACTTCATCCTGTTGTGATTATTCATTCAGGTGTCCCAATTTTTCATGCCAAAAACACTGGGAATGTTCGTTTTTATATATTTTTTTCTGCTACAATAAAAGCTGTCACATTCCCTGCTGGTTTTCATTTGCATCAACTTTTGTTTTCAGAACTTAGAGATCAGCTAAGTGCCATACTGTACTGCGTATTTCAGAGAGTGACTTAATTTCAGTAGATTGCTGTAAYATGCTGTAAAAAAATACAGTAATGCTTTGTGACTTAGTGCAATATCTCACATTCTTATGTAGGCGGGTATTTAATGTGCTGTACGTCTGAGTCAGKTTAGGAGAACTCAAGGCACTGTCTCCAATTACAAACTAGTTATTAAAATGTACAAAAAAAATGTGCCAAAAATAACATTTCCTGGATAAAACCATTGAATCCATTAGTAAAACTCTTAATGAGTTTAAAGGGGATAAATCAGCCACATTTGTTTTTGTTTTGGTGTTGTCAATAAACCTGACCATTTCTGACATTTTTTTCCAGAATTTTATTCAAATGCTCCCATAAACTCCCAGTAACTTTGCTGCCATCTAGTGTTCCTTCGAGGAAAAAATTGACCTCATTGAAACCCATCATAAAAGCATTTTTTGATCCCATATTATCAAACTGTATCAYAAAATAATTAATTTGTTTCAATACCATTTCTGTTATTTTACCCCTATTACCACACTTTTGATTTTTAAAATAGCTGTATGGATGATGCTTTGCTTTTAYGTTTGAGGGTAAAAACTGTCACCAGGTGTCTGGAACTTATCTGGATGAGCTATTTTCTTCCCCCCAAATTGTTATAAAATAAATCAACTTTTCTGTTCATTTCTCTGTGCATAAATAAATATTTGGAAGAGCCTAATGATGCTTTTGTCCTGGAAATATTGATAGATGGTCAAAAAACATGCAAAAAAATTCTAAAAACTAGTTGTAGACTCCATCCTCAGTAGTGATATATTAGTGTGTCATTTGAGACAGTGTCCTGCATGTTGAGAGTTGTGTGAATAAATGAAAATATACTTTACAAATTAGAAATGAGGTTTGTTTATGTTGTTAACAGCTGCCAAACTGCCCTGTGTTCTCACTGCTGTCTCTTGATTCTCCTGTGTCGTTAACGTCAGCAGGAAACAACAGACGAGCTTTCATTCAAGGCTGGKTTTAGTAAAGGATTCAGTTAGTTCTCAGGCAAATAAAGCTATATRAAATATGTTTTGGATCATTAGATCATTGATTTAGGTGGGTGGGTCAGTTGCCATGGATTGAGTCATGGAAGGATGTGGGTTATTTAATGTAGAGAGAACCCATCTGTTTCAGTGTAGCATCACTGTGCTTCATGTCCTTTCATCTGGGTGATTGTCCATGAGCAACACGGGAACGTAGAGTTAGTGTGCAGTGCTTTGGATCATGTAAAAGTGATCTGATTTAATGCCCTGATTTAATGAAGCAAGGGTCAGAGGRAAAGTTATGAATGGTTAATATCTTACCTGTTGTAGACAGCTCTTTGAACAAGCTCTGTTTAGAGACCAAAATTAWTTTCTGCTGTTTTAAAACAACTAATCTCAAAAGATAGATCAGGATTCATCCAAGCAATATTTTATGCATCATTACATCATGGTCAGATTCTCATTACACAATCATTTCAGTAGAAATATCACAAAATTCCTGCATGGAGTGCACAATTATCACAACATTGTTGCCATCTACTAGATCGGTGTAACCAAATCAGCACTCATGGGAACGTCTTTGTTCTCATTTGGTTTGAGTTTTGTTTTATACTGTGTATATAAATACGTATAAAGAAAGAAAGAAAAGTTTCTAAAAAAATATCTGAGCAGATGAGGCTGGATTGCTGACCTTTTAAAACAATACATTTTATTCGTGCTAACACCTTTTTTAGAAGCCTTTACACTGCTGTCACATCACATGGATTTTACCTTTATGATTGTATGCAAACAAAAATACTGACAGCAGTAGCTAGCTGCATGGCAGGAATATATCTAACCATGTAACGTGAAACTGCCAGCAGAGTAAAAGTTTATGAAATTGTGTTGGTAGCTTCGGACTAGCCATTAGCTTGTCCATCTAGTCAGCGTTAAACTCTTTCTGACTCATAGAGCTATCTTCAACAGGTAAGATGTTTACTGTTCATAACCTATCTATAGAGCCCCTCTTCAAAAGAAATTAAATATTCTTTTTTTAATTGAATTTTGTGCTGCATCAGTTTTTTTCCACATGTAGTTGTCACAATTTGAAAAACTTCCCTCAAAATGAAAAAACTCTCAGCTAAATCAACAGTTTCCCTTTCAGGCTGTCTGAAATGTTTGTTTCTGATGAAAAGAGAGAAATGAAAAATGTGAAACTGATTTAACCAGTCAGATGTTGCTTGCTTGTTTACTGCAAATGACCAGTTTCCTCTGCAGCAGCCAGCAGGTGAACTGAGGCTCTGAGTTTCACAACTTATGACAATAATGCATGAATAGGCTGTAAAGAATCCTTTAAATATATTGAATATTATATTACATTTTAGTGAAACCCAAGCTGTTTTGCAAAGTCTTGCCAACATTCATTAAAGCTGTTTTAAAAAAAATTGTCCACAAAGTCCAACAACTCTCTCTTTTCTCAGTTATCTCATCTGTGTGATCCTGGTGATCACTGCTATATTTATATATTTACTTATGCACACGTGTGTAAATGTGTAAAACTGTTACATTTCTGCCCCGAGGAACTTTATGGAGTCGTTCAAAYCTGACCGAAACACAGCTTTTCAGCAGCTGGAGCTGCTGACAGAAAATGTCAGTGAGTGTTCTGTTTGTGTTTCAGCTTTAAATATAAAAAAGAAAAAAAGAAACAATGGCTTAAAAAAAGAAAAGGTCATACAGGTTAATCGGAGTAGTGAAGTGGTAAAAATATATAGAGGTTAACTGAAGTCTCTGCTTGTTCAGGAAGTTATTTTAAAGTTGTGTTAAACAGGAATAAGACTACTTTAAATGAGAGCATGTTTTCTCTCTGGACCCATTTTATTTCTTAGACTCCTGGTTTTATTTGTCAGAGCCGGTGGTCTCTCTCTGGTTTTGGGAGGATGTTGGGGGCTGGCTAAGACAAGGAGATGATAAAGTTAAGTAAAGTTTCGTTCACCATGAAGTTATTTATTGGAGTTAAAGAGCTACACAGTTTCAACTCATGCACACACTCTGGTGCACAGTGAAGCTCTAGATCTGTGTTTATGGACCTTCATGAGTGTTGTCTCACTCAAAAGAGAATCTAGACATGCATCTAACCGTCATATATGTTATATGTTTTATTCAATTAAAGTAAAAAAGTTCATTTTTAATGGTTTATGGCAATTTCCATCCTAGATTAAATTTGTTACAGACATTTCTGCATCAGCAGCGAGATGAATGGTATCACTGTTGGGTATTTGTGGACAGATTTTGAGCAGTTATTATCTTACCTGCTGTAGATAGCTCTTTGAACGGCTTCAGCTTGGACATACAGAGCGTGATTCTGACTGAAACGATGAACTAATGGCTAGTCTGAGCASGACAAAGATCTGTCTTGGCAGCACTGATTTTAAAACAGCACAGCCGTGAACGCTGGTTTATAAACTGTTACATTGTCTGATTATGGGTGGTTGCTCCGTGGTCATTGTCAATAAACAAATATGCAGAAATAACAAATCTGCAATGAGAGTTWGCTCACTGTGAGAATCTTGACAGAATGGAGTAGTTAAAATGAAAAACAAATACACAACTCTTTACATAGATTTTTTGTGGTTAACTATAAGCACAAACTGCAGCAGCAGCTAGCTGTAGTACTTCCAGTGTAGCCTGGGATTGATAATTGGTAATGTGAAATGGAAGGCAGTGTAAAAGTCTATAAAATAGCAGAAATTCTGAAAATTTTGAAGCTTAAATCTATTTGAAGATGGCGATATTCCATATTTATCAACCAGCCATCAATATAGTCTGAATTAAACTCTATTTTTCCAAACTGAGGTTGTTCAGAGAGCTATCTACAGCAGGTTAGATATTAATTGTTCATAACTTTTCCACAGAACCTTGCATATAAAATTCTAACCTAGAGAGAAATCAGTTCATTTTGTGTTAAACAGAATATTTAAAAAAACGAGAAAGCATCTGTGTAGCACTTTAAGGGTTCGACCTTATTTCTGTGGTGGATGTTTTTTTTATTTTTTTCTCAGGGTAAGATGAGGGTAAAAAGGTAGTATTATGTTACCTGAGTGGTATTTATTATTATTAATAATAATGTTATTAATTTGGGGTGCTGTCAGTTGAGGATGTTTCATCGTTCTCAGTGCTTCAGTCTCTTATTCAGTCAGTGTGGTAGATGAAAATAATAATACAAGCATTCTGTGTTTTGTGCTCTGGCCTACGTACACTACTGTGGTATTGGTTGATTGTAAGAAAAAAAAAAGAAAAAAAAACGTCAGTATGTTCATGAAGTAAATGGAACTCATGTGTGATGCTCTCCAGGGTCTGGTTTGTTCTGAAAATAAGAAAATATTATCAACTAGTTATTTATTGCAAAAACTGCACTATTATTATTTTTCTTCTTCTTGCAAATACTTTGTGGAACACTCGTAAAAGGGCCAAAGTCGACATTTTATGCGATCATCATGTTTTGTGAAACTGAAGTAAAGAAAAAGGCTGTTAGTTGTAGTAATGCTGGCACCATCAGTGGTGTGGTTCCAGTACAATGCATTGCATGGATGTCACAATACACCCACCCCTGAACCCCCAACCCCCATATTGAAAAAAGAAAAAGAAAAAAAGGATTCTTGCAAAATGAGAAGCAAGAAAACACTGATTCTGTAGTGTGCTGCCCCTTTAACTTGTTTCTACTCGGTTGTTTCTTCTTGTTCTGAAGCTGTTTGGCCTCTTCAGTGTAAAACTGTGTACAGAGATGTGTGTCACTGTCTGTTACCTGGACTCTAGTCTGACCATCATGCCAATAAAAGAGAAAACATCTTTTGGACTGCCTGTTTCTGTGATGATTTGTTTGATTTATAAAAAGCACTCACTCAGAAACAATGGACCTCATGCAAGAATATTTTTGTATTCTTATCCTAAATTTCTCTTACTTTTATCGTACGAAGGGTTCGTACGAACATGCCATGTCAGATTCAGCAAACGCGTCTAACTTCAGGAAAAGTGTGTAAATGAGCAGCGTAAACATGACGAATGCCACCTGTTCGTATTCAGGTGTTGTGCACGAGGAGAGGAGATTAGCATAATTACCACCCCAAAAGCGCCATATAAGGCCACGCTTCCTGCCCCACGTACCAGGAAGTGTTCATTCATGAAAATGGTAGCGAAAAGTAAAAAGAAGAACAGTTTGGAGATTAAATTCCTGCTGTCAGAGATCCAGAAAAGAAAATTTGTCATTTTTAGCAGCATCAGCTGTGGAATTAAAGGAGCTGCTAAAGCCAAGGAAGGAAATGACGACTGCTCTTTCTGTCCCGTGGGTCATATAAAGTCACAGAAATACAAAATCTACATCATATTAATCTCTCTCTAGTCCTGCTCTTGTTTTCCTTTGGTCAAATATTTTTAAATTAAGAGTAAACAACTGTGTTAAATAATTTTCATTTATACAGAAGAGCAGTTAAACACAGCACCACAGCCCGGACCATCTGATGTGCCAGTCCCCCGCTGTCTCCCAGACACACAAGTGGTGTCAGATGCAGTTCTGAAGAATCAAGAAAGCATTTTAAAATGTCTCCAAAATATGTCTGGCACTTTGGAGAAAATAGCTGATGTGCTGAATAAATCTGAACAAAATAAAATTTGAATTAAAAAATTACCTAATTTATGTCTGAATAAAGCTGTTGATTATGTTCACTCCTTGTTGACCTCATTATAAACAGAGACGAATTGAACTTCACTTAATGCATAAGTTAAGTTGGTTTGTAGTTTAAGATCTTCTTGTGTTATACAACAGCATTAATGACCAATTTAAATTATTTACATATTTACATTTAAAATTATAATTCCAATTCAAACAGAATAGCCTATTGTTGGAGTGTGTTTTATTTTCATCTCAAAATATCTTGAAACTAATGAAATATAAAATTATTAGTGAATAAAATCAGTCTGGATAACAGCAGATTGACTGCTTGTAAAATATACGACAGGCCTGGACTGCTCATAAATTTTGTTCATACCTGAAAAACATTTTACAATATAAGAAAATTGGTGAATGCTATAAGTTCTCCTAAATTACTCGTACGCACAACTTAAGAACAAATCTGTTTGTGTGAATGGTTCTTGCATGAGGCCCAATGTTTTGAATACAACAGAGCCCTCTGCAGCTTACGTCTCTAAAATCAGGACTACAGTAATTGTGAATCAGTCTTTTGTGTTCTTTTCAGCCTGAGCTGTCACTCTGTTGCACCTGATCGATGAATGTGACTGTGTTTGTGTTACATTCAGACAAATGCCGTTTGAAATGATTTACAGAATATAGAAAAGCTAAACAGGGGTACATCCATTGCAGTTTTCTGGCTGATAACCGAACTTTAAAAAGCCTGACCTGCCAATTCTGGTTCAAATGGTGCCTTGCCCAGTCACACTTAACATATAACTAAATAACGGGGGAATTGAACCATCAACTCTCACAAAACAATCCACCTGTTTTACTGAAAAACATTGAATCCAAACTTGTTTTAACTGGACCACAGCCCTCTCTCACAGCAGAGCAAAAGGGACCTTAATGGATAAGATCAGTGGAAAAGGTTGGGTTCGCTTGTAAATACTGGCTGATCGAGATCACACAAAATGAAGGAAAGCGGGGCCGATTTATCAGTGTACCCCTACCAAATAGTATCCAAAAGTTAGTAATAAAGACATAACTACCAACTATTTTTTTTTCCTTTTTACACCTTTGAAATTTGCTTGCCAGTTTGTTTTTTACCACGTTCATGCTAAATAGCCGTCATGATGACAATTATGGATTTGAATCTACAATAAAGCTCAATATTGTTGATAAATACACTTTCAGACATTTGGTCTCACTTTATGGCCTCTTTTGTTTCCAAACAGGGGTGGTTGAAAGCTCCATCTACAGGTAAGATACTAACTGTTATAATCTTTCAGCAGAACCAGAGGAATCAGACATCTGGTTTGACTTTATGTCCACACGCTCTTCGACATGTACAGTGGTTTGCAAAAGTATTCATACCCCTTGAACTTTTCCATATTTTGTCACATTACAACCACAAACATAAATATATTTCACTGGAATTTAATGTGAAAGACCAACACAAAGTGGTATACAATTGTGAAGTGGAAGCAAAATTTTACATGAATCAAAACATTTTTTACAAATAAAAAACTGAAAAGTGYGATGTGCAAAATTATTCAGCCCCCCTGAGTCAATACTTTGTGGAGCCACCTTTTGCTGCAATTACAGCTGCAAGTCTTTTAGGRTATGTCTCCACCAGCTTTGCACATCTAGTGACTGCAATTCTTGCCCATTCCTCCTTGCAAAACAGCTCAAGCTCAGTCAGATTGGATGGAGAGCGTTTGTGAACAGCAGTTTTGAGATCTTGCCACAAATTCTCAATTGGGTTTAGGTCTGGACTTTGACTGGGCCATTCTAACACATGAATATTCTTTTTTTTAAACCACTCCATTGTAGCTTTGGCTTTATGTTTAGGGTCGTTGTCCTGCTGGAAGGTGAACCTCCGCCCCAGTCTCAAATCTTTTGCTGACTCCAACAGGTTTTCTTCCAAGATTGCCCTGTATTTGGCTCCATCCATCTTCCCATCAACTTTGACCAACTTCCCGGTCCCTGCTGAAGAGAAGCACCCCCAGAGCATGATGCTGCCACCACCATATTTGACAGTGGGGATGGTGTTTTCAGAGTGATGTGCAGTGTTCTTTCTCCGCCACACATAGCGTTTTGCATTGTGGCCAAAAAGTTCAATTTTGGTCTCGTCTGACCAAAGCACCTTCTTCCACATGTTTGCTGTGTCCTCAACATGGCTTCTGGCAAACTGCAAACGGGACTTCTTATGGTTTTCTTTTAACAATGGCTTTCTCCTTGCCACTCTTCCATAAAGACCACATTTGTGTAGTGCACGACTAATTGTTGTCCTGTGGACAGTTTCCCCCACCTGAGCTGTGGCTCTCTGCATTTCATCCAGAGTCACCATGGGCCTCTTGGCTGCCTCTCTGATCAGTGATCTCCTTGTTCGGCCTGTAAGTTTAGGTGGACGGCCTTGTCTTGGCAGGTTTACTGTGGTGCCATACTCTTTCCATTTCCGGATGATGGATTGAACAGTGCTCCGTGAGATGTTCAAAGCTTGGGAAATCTTTTTATAACCTAAGCCTGCTTTAAACTTCTCCAAAACCATATTCCTAACCTGTCTGGTGTGTTCTTTGGACTTCATGATGCTGTTTGCTCCCCAATATTCTCTTAACCAACATCTGAGGCCGTCACGGAGCAGCTGTATTTGTACTGAGATTAGATTACACACAGGTGGACCCTTTTGAGTCATTAGCAGTCATCAGGCAACTTCTGAATGCAATTGGTTGCACTCAGGGAAAAGAGGGCTGAATACTTTTGCACGTCGCACTTTTCAGTTTTTTATTTGTAAAAAATGTTTTGATTCATGTAAAATTTTGCTTCCACTTCACAATTGTATACCACTTTGTGTTGGTCTTTCACATTAAATTCCAGTGAAATATATTTATGTTTGTGGTTGTAATGTGACAAAATATGGAAAAGTTCAAGGGGTATGAATACTTTTGCAAACCACTGTATGATGCACAGAACTAATCAAAGCTGCCAAATCCTGAACCTTATTTTAAACTCTCTTTAAAAAAAAAAAACAAGCAGGTTAGATTTGTACAAATTGATTTACGATTGCGTGAAGCGTTGAGGATTTTCTTTGCTTTTGAATCAAACATTTAGACTTAAAGCTGAAGTTACTGTTTTTAAACTATCAAATGTAGGATCGATTTAAGAACCTAGTTTTGCAGATCCTTTAAAATCTTTTTTGAGTTTTAGTTTGACAAATCTGTACACATCTGGATGCCATAACACACACTTCAACAGAAAAGAGAACCACCACCTCCATAGTGTGTGGGGGGTCTTCTAAATATTTGTATTTGAGTTTTCCTGTTAAGTGTTGTTAATAAACGTCCTCCATGTGATTGCTGAGCTAATTTATAATGTACACCCTACCTCTAGAATGGGATTGACCTAATTTTTTGTCAAAACAACTTTTAAGTGACTTGTTTCAATGTCACCCAACATATCTAATAACTTTCCCCCTAATAAATGCATTTATTTAATAAATCATAATTTTGTTCAACAAATTTGTAGAAATATCTGATAAAGAAATATGCTTGCTGATAATTTGGAGCAGTAAAACGTTGACAACTCTATAGGTGGACTTTAAAAAAAATCAACTAAAAGTGTTGCTAATGTGCAGATACATAAACTACAAACGTTGCACAGCAGGAAAACATTCAACAGAAGAAATGCAGATTTTATGGACATTTTTGACACACACACTGATTTGTCGTTTAGTTTATTTTCCATTTGAAACTTTGTGCAACACAACAGCCCAGATGAGCCAATTTATCAACAGATATGCCGAACTCAGTGGCGAACGGTTTAACGCGTACAAAAAGATCCCATATTAAGAACAGAAATTTACTCAATCTTGGTTTGCAGCTTTCTTACCAACAATCTATTAGGTCTTCCTCTACTTAGAGCAACAAAAACTTCGCAATTAAACAAGCATACACTTCAATAAATATGATGCTAATTATTTAAACAGAACATCTTAAAGTTATTTCACAGAGCAGCACCGCCACCATGCATATTGATCAAGTCGAATGTTACAGAAACAAGTCATTCTCTGTTTACGTGAAATCAAAAATGCAAAAAAAGAATGTCATCTTTTTAGTTTTTGTGTTAGGCAGCAATAAAATCTCTGCTTTCAATAAATTCAGAGTTCAGATATGACGCTCTAACTGTGAGTGCCCGATGGAGACATCCTCACAGGATGCGAGTAGAAATGTTTAGCGTTCTCTTGTCTGATCAGGAAACTCGTCCACACAAACCCAACAACGTAATCCTCATCAAAGAGAAAAGCAGCTGTCGTTATGAGAGTGGGGCCTCAGGCCCTTCAGGGGCGTGGTCAAACAGGAGACAGGCTGCCGTTTTCCCACACTGGCTGCTGCAAAGCAACAGAAACTTTACCCCCCACACGACGGCAAACTGAGCAACGTGACGGGGGCTAGCTGATGATGCGGCTAATCGACTGCAAGGAAGGGAACTCCTCATTTTCACCGATGTGCAAGGTCTTGTGGGAGCTGAAGTCTTTGGGGGCCAGCACCTGTCTGCAGGTGGGGCACACCTGACAGTCCAGCTCAGCTGCCGTGTTGGCCGACGTGGTGGGCGTCTGCCAGGCGTTCTTGTTCTTCTTCCCTCCCCCAGCGCCCGACTGCTTCTCCAGAGCCTTGCAGTCTCCGTGGGCAGCCAGGAGCTCCTGCTGCTTCCCCGTGTCCGGTAAGAGCACCAGCAGCTCGTTGAAGATGCAGCTGAAGTTGTCTCCCAGCAGGTCCTTACAGCTGCGGTGGTACTGGGCTGCTGGTACCAAACTCTGGAAACAAGAGAACAAACCAGGTGAGCAGAAACGGTTCTGAATAAACTGTGCCATTAACTTGGCTTGTTTTTTTTTTTTACTTCATATAGAACAGAAAAAAACTGCCAGCACCTGTCTGAACTGAGCAGAATAGTTTTTGAACTGGTTGAACTTTGACTCGTCATTGTTGAGGAACTTTTTAATGGACTGGATCAGCTCCAGGTTTCTCTGTTGGAAGTCATCTGGTACTAGGTACTCGTTGCTAAGCCCCTTGGGGGGCCTGAAAGAAAAAACACCCACAAATACTAAGTACTGCAAATATATTTGTAGATCATAAACAAACCAAATGGATGCTATTTTAAATATTGAAAATAACTGCTTACTGATTGACCACAGGCTCCACCACATTGCTGTTCAGGGGGATTCCTGTGAAGCCTGGGGGCGGCTTGGGGGCRGAGATCCCCAGGCCAGGTGGAGGTGGAGGTTTGGACATAGCAGCAGGTGTGCTGGCTGCTGAGGCCTTTACTGGGAAAGAGCTCTTGAAACCTGACAGAAAAAAAAGAAGACTCAAAATGCTGCAGAACACCTGAAGAGATGGCTCTAAACAAAAACCTGACCGGTCCATCGGGGGAGGGAGGGAGAGAGGGGGAGAGAGAGAGAAGGGGGTGGGGGACAGAGAGAGAGCTCCCAAAAATAACAGGAAACTTAAACGCACCATCTGTGTTTTAACAAAACACCCAAAAAACCTGTAGCTGTCCCAACAACTCATGAAGAAACCTTCGAACTGTCTGATTTCCTCCCCCGCAGCGCTCTGCTCGTCTCCTCTGACTGTCCCCTCCTCACACACACACATAGACACGTTTGTTCTTCTATCCTCATGGGGACTTTGCATTGACTTTCATTCATTTACCAGTATATTCTATTACCATTTGACCCTAAACCTAGCCTACACTTTACATTGGATGTGAACTGGGCTCATGTCCCCATAAGAAACAGTGGGTYCTCACCAGGCTGTGTAGTTTGYTTCATCTCTAAAGASATGCTGCTCTTTAATATTGTTTATTTACTGTCTTAGTTGTGTGTGGTGTTTAATTTACATTTTGTTGTTCTTTGTTTTTTATTATTCAAGTGCTTTTTTTGTTAGAGACTGAGAGTCCACTTTGTTAATCATTCTTTTAAAAATTAAAGTTTATTGATTTATTACACTTACATTTTACGCTTTTATAATTATTTGTTGTAAAATGCTCACCAGGCAATATTATCGCTTATCGCAATAATTTGTGAGACAATTAATCGCCCAGCAAAATTTGTTATCATGACAGGCCTACTCAGTATCAAACATCTAAAGTTTTATTGGCCTACAATAATAATTGTGAATAATTTATTGTAGTCCCAGCTGTTAGTTAAAGTAATAATATTTTAAGATATTCGTACCTGGAGGTGGTTTCTTTGCTATGAGAGCAGGGAACTCTTCCTCCGGTTCGGGAGCGGGCTCTGTGCAGGGGGAGGGGGTCACCACTGGTKGATCTCTACAAACAGCGGGAGGAGTATCAGCCCTGCCCTTGGCCACTCCGTTCACAACAGGCACTGGAGCAGCGTTAGAGGTTGGTTTGTTCCGAGTCTTCTCCGGTCTGTTCTCCTTCTGCGCCGTCGTTTCTACTGACCTCGTGTCTTCAGTTGCTGTCCCCCCGGACATCGTGGACACAGAAGCAGAGGAAGCAGTCGTGCTTTTCTGCTTTTTCTTTTTGTTGGACTTAGACGTGGGCTGATCCGTGTTGGGGGTTGGATTGGAAAAAGTGGAGGTCCCAGTGGACGGTTTGCTGTTTCCTCCTTTAACAGTGAGCAGAGAGGAGATATCCAACATGGTGGGCACCGAGCGGAACTCCTGCTGCGTCATTCCTCCGCTCTCATCGTCAGAGAGAGGAGGAGAATGATGAGGTGCTGCTTTTCCATTCTCCCCGACTTTCTTTTTCCTGCGTGAAGTGGATGAGTTTGAGGATGAGAGGAGCTGAGGGCCGGAGGATGCAGAGGAGACGGGAGGGGGTGCTCTGGTGGGAGGGGGCTGATGAGTGTTTGTTTTAGGGGCAGCAGTATGGCTGGACCACGCCAAGTTGGTACCTGCTGCAGGTTTGAAAGGTCGCACTTTAGAGACGAGCGCGGGGAAATCTTCCTCTTGAAATGATGAGGTCTTCTTCGTCTGTCCGGAGTACGCTGGGGTCATCGGGGCTGAAACTGCAGCGCTTGAGAGGCTGGGGAAGTCGTCTTCCTTCAGCGCTGCCTGAGCTGCTGGGGGGCCCACCGGAGCTGGCTTTACACTGGAACAACAACACAAGTGAAGAGTTTCAGCTCACTGTATCATTAGAGGCTCAGTTTGTGAGGTGTGCTGAGAGTTACCTGGCTGCTCCTGCTGTGGCTCCTAAAACAGGGAAGTCATCCTCATCTCCTGGATTGGTGCTCTTCATCGTTTTCACTGTAAAAGAGTCAACAATAAAAACATGAGAACCACTGTTCTTGCAGGAACTTCATCATGACACCCAGCCACACATTTAGAGTAAGTCTATCGTGACAAGCATTACTTTATGACATTAATTATCATATGATAAATTAAAATGGAAAAGTAAAATGTGAAGCTCTTTGAATTGTTGTTTGAGTTGATATTTTTATTTTTAATTAGTATTGTTTTGTAAATTGTTTTCTTTTAATACATTCTGGGGGATAAAAGGGGCAGACTTTATAAGATTTATTCTTCGGCGACCTTTCATTTTTGATTTGTGTATTTTCTTTGTTTTCTATTGTATAGTTTTGTTTTTTAATGAAATGAATAAATTTTTTGAATTGAATTGAAAAAAAGGGGTAAATCATTTCCATTTGCCTGTTTATTTTCTTCATGTCTCTCTTTTTCTACTAAAGAGACTAATAACAAGGCCGCATGACCAGTTCCCCTGTTTTGTYGTGTGTTTTTCCTGAATGGGTGTTCTTAACTGTAATTCATTGTGTGAGTCAACATACTTGGACAATAAATCWGATTCTGATAAACCAATCATTTGTATTATGTCCTCATACCTTGAACAGATAAAATTTGTTCTTTATTTACCTGGGGGCTTGGTAGTTGTTTTGAGATGTTTTGTCAGAGGTTTGGGCTCCTCTGCTTCCACTCTCTCCATCCTTTCCTCTCTGCAGTGTTTGGGAGTGTTCCTCTCCTGCACAGCAGCTCTCTCCGCTTGTCTCCGCATCGCCATGGAAGCCCTCAAAGCAGCTTCCATCTGCCTGTCCTCCTCCTCCCTTTCACTGCAAGGAGGAGCCGATAAAATAAATAAAATAAGACAGTGAAGTACTTAATGAATTTGATTCAGTTTAACTAAAAACAAAGAGCAAAAAATTACTGATCTAAAGATAGACAGCGACAGACAACACAGAAACTTTACCTACAGGGTTTAAATTTGATATTTATTAACAGAGACAAACRATGCTGACTCATATTTTGCTGGCAAATCCAATGTTTGTAAAAATCTTTGACTCAGACATTCATACTCACCGAGAATAYCTCCAGCTCTTCTGTCCCATCTGTGGCCTTCCACGTCCTCCTCGATTGTGGCGCATCTCCTCGTAGTCCTCGCCTGACACCTGACCTAGAGGTGTAGGTGCTTCGTTTACATTTACTGCTGTTGTTGTTACAGGCGTGATGATAAAATACAGAAAGCTTGTGACGAACCTTCATTTCTCCTCTGTTGTCTCGGAGCGTASGTAAACTGCAGGTCGATCTGGCGGTTCTGTCGAGCCTCCGCTCGGTTCTTGCTGTGTGCTGCAGCTTTGTGGGCCTTGTAGTCGATCTCGGTCCTGAAAGCGTGCGTGAACTGTTCGGTGGCGCAGCGACCCTCCTCGCACAGATAGTGACTCTCTCTAAAGTGCTCGCTCAGATATTTATAATCACTGACAATAAAGGGATTAAAAACGCAGTTTAAGCACAGAAAGAAAAATGCAAAGTGGATTTTTTTCTTTTGCATATGGTGCAGTTGGGTGTAAACACCTATAATATTCCTGAGATCCATCTGCATCACAGAAATGACAGAAGTAGTGGTCCCTGCGCAAGTGCTTCAGCAGCTCGTCGTTATCGAGGTAACGATCGTCGCAGAACTTGCAGAGCGGATGTCCTCTATGACTGGTGTCGTCAGGGTCTCCGTGCGCTCTGTGACGTGCCAGCTCCTTACGATTGTACCACTTCCGCTCATGAGAAAAGATCTAGTAAGAGTTGTAATGTTTTTAAGTACACTTGACCACCTTTAAAAAAAGTTAACCTCAAAAGTCTGACTTCTGCTTTGTCTCTGAATTAACTGCTTTCCTCATCAGAAATCCCTCGTCCTAATATTGAAGTAAAAATCTTCTAAATGTCTCAAATTTTTCACCGTCACCGACCTGACGTTTTCATTCTTTAACAGGGTTCATGCAGGTTTCAGTAAGTTCAACTTAAGACCTTTTACAGACTGTTTAAGACCATCAGGAACAACATTTAGGACCAAACTGATGCATTAACAGAAACATTCAAATGGTCCCAAAAATTTTAACATAGAAACCTTCATTGCTATCAATATCAAAGAATATTTAATTTTAATAAGAGAACACTAAATTAATTTAATGAAATGGTCATATCAATGAGATATCGACTGCTGTGGACCGCTTCCATCCAAGTGCAAAAATCACTGATATCAAGCCAAGTCTCATTAAAAACACACTTTCCATGTTCAAACAACAAGCAGAAGACATGACTGAACTTCTTGTTGTTTGGATGGGTGAACAAGCCACCGTATGCGGGGGATTATAGCGGCAAAGAGGTTGAAAACATGGAAGTAAACTGTGCTGTTTTTTGCCTGCAGTTATCACAGGATTTGTAGTTTAACCACAGCCCGATAGCAAACTTAGCCCTTCATGAAGCCAGATCCCATCAAACTCTTATTACAGTGCTTTACTCCGTTTATTTACGCTGCCGACACTTCTCGGGAATGATCGAAAGTAAAAAAAACTAAGATTTTATAACTTTACAACTAAGACTTTTTAAATTTAATGTAAGACCTTGGATGAAATCTGGGCATTTTAAAAAAAAAATTTGGCCTAAAATTTTGATTTTCAAATTTTAGACTTTTTAAGACCCTGCATGAACTCTGCTTTAACCACTGTGATCATGCTGACAGACAGGAAAAAAAAAAACTGAACCAAATGGTTTGGGATGAAAATACCTTCAGATGTTTCAAGCAGAGCTTACAACAGAAGAGCTCATGCTGCTTCCTCATGTGCTGCTCCAGTTCCTCAAATCTGGAGAAAACTTTTGGCTCCCGACAGAGAGGACACTCTGACAACAGCAGACGCCTGATTACACACACACACACACACACACACACACACACACACACACAC